TATAAGCCGAGGCGGCTTTTTTCAGCTCAAAAAGTGGGCTGAAAAACTAGGCTTATACTTGAGTATATACAGTAATAATATTTTTCACTGCTTCATAAAGACATGACTTTATGTTATGAAGTGTAAGACTTCATAAAGAGTCTTAGAAGTGGCAGTAAGCTAATAGTAACCCGGGTGATGGTAAGTGAAAGTGGAGACTCACTGGTGTGAATCAAAGAAATGAGAAGGAAAAAACAGTAATAGTTGGAATGTACAGGATCATCTGACAAGGATTAAGAAGAAGGGAGAATTGAGGACAATGGCAAGATAACCCATCATATCAGTATGAGAAATTCTTTTGAAAAGTGTTTCTGAAAAAAAAAAGGATGAAATGTATGGCTCATGCTTGAGACAGCAGCATAAAAACAAGTTTAGAAGATTTTTTTCCAATAAAAGAGAATTGAAATCTGCTGTATACAGTATTTAGCATCCTTAAACAACCTTTCATTTAATGTATATGAAATAGATGTCTCTAGTGAGCACCATCAATTTGGCAGCCATTTGGGGTGTGATACCTTTGGAATAATTCCACCACTATTATCTAGGGTTACCATATCTGGACTGCAAAGATCCACATAACCACAAGATGGAAGCAGAGAGATGCAGAGAAATTTTTCTCTGCTGCATTCCAAAAGTTGTCTGGATTTGCAGCCCAGATATGGAAACTCTAATATTGCCATCATAGTTGAAGAGATTATCAGTCCTGGGGTTGCACTTGTAGCATACGTTTTTTTAATGACTTATCCAACCCCCCCTCCCCGACACAAATCCTCATAATACAATATTGGTTGCTACTATCACCATGAGCTTTTTAAAAAACAGTTATTACTAGACATAATTGCAGAGGTGACACAGACAAAAGTTACAATAATGAAACAAACTGTATTTATTCAGAAATTTACTAAGAAAACCAGACACACGAAAGAAGACTAGGTGCATATTACTTTTTCAAGTATTTAATTCAGTCTCCTCACACAAATAATATTACACAAAACTGAGAAATTCTTGGTTGGGTGCAATCATGCAATTAAAACAATGCATTAAGCACTTATAAAAGGCAACTAAAAGTTAAAAGGTTGACTTAACCTTCCATCGTTTGAGGTCGGTAAAATGAGGAGCCGGATTGTTGGGAGCAATATGCTGACTCTGTGACCCGGTAAAGCAAGGGCTATAAAGCAGTGTGAAACGGTATGTATGACTAAATGCTGTTGCTAAAATATGAAAATCAAAAAGTAGCCAGTCAAATAAGGTGCCATTTAAGAATCAAGGACTGTCTTAAACAATTCCCCTTTAAGTCACTTCCTAAAACCTAATAAGAGAAGAGTCTTCCTGCAGGAAGAGTGTAAGTTGTAAGTACAACTTACGCTGACTGGATGGAAATTCACAGTCAAAACCTAACTAAAGATTGGATTCTTGCAGATTTTTTGGTTTTTCTCTTGGTCTCTACACTGTCCCTCAGTTGGAATGCCTATTTAGACATCCAAGTCCTTGCAATAGTTGAAAACATCAGGTTTTAAATTTTTGACTCTCTAAACAGCGGGATTAAAGTGCCTAACTTCTCTCATATGTTTGTCATTCAAATTAAATACTGTTTTATATTTGAGATGATACTCCTCACAAAGAGGAAAAAAGCCACTCTGCAATGCAGGCATTAATTTCATAAAAAGCCATTTAAAATCAAAATTGCCACACCATGATATTTTCTTAAAGTTCCAGATATGCTTACAAACCCCAAAAGATAGGCGACTTCACATTTAGTGAACGATTACCACTAATTGCCCAAATATTGAGGGCATACAAATTACAAGGGCACAATTCCCATTCTTTTTTCAATTTTTCACAGATTATATAAAATGGACTCATGTTTGTATTATTGTTTTTAAGGTAAATATCTTTTTAAATCCATCTCTGTGTAAGTAATGCATATTCAGAACAGAAGATGGAGGAAAAAATATTCATCAAATCATGTTTTAAGCTTGGAATTTACATTGGTTAAAAAAGTAGGCTCAAGCAATTTTAGATTTCACTAAACCATGCCAATATCTCCCTCTAGTGGCTACTTTACCCCAACAAATTTAGGTGATTTTCATAGTTGTCTGCAAAAAAAAACAGTTATACCCTCAGATGTCCCAAGTATCAAAGTACAGATAGTCCTTGACTGACAGCAGTTCATTTTATGACCATTCCAAGTTACAACACACTGAAAAAAGTGCCTTCTGACTGTTTTTCACACTTATGATCATTGCAGTATTCCCTATAGTCATGTGATTTGACAACTGGCTCATACGGTGATGGTGTCCCAGGGTCCCAGGTGAACACCTTTTGTAACCTGATAAGCAAAGTCAATGGGGAAGACAGATTCACTTAACAACCGTGTTGCTAACTTAACAACTGCAGTTGGCATGAAAGGTCGTAAAATAGGCAGAATTTGTTTAATAAATGCTTCATTTAGCCACAGAAATTTTGGGCTCAATTGTGGTCATAAATTGAGAACAATCTGCACTGAATGACCTATTGTGAACACCCATGGAAATTTTAGCATTCCTGTATTAAGTCTCAATTTCCACTTCTCGGTTTTCATTGCCTTATTTTATTAAGCCTTATTTTTTAAGCTTTTTAAGCACATAACCATAGTCTGAAACATGGTACTGCTAACAATGCGAGTATATTTTTTACTATTAAGTTTCCTTGAAGCCACCTCTTTATGTAAGAAATATTAGAAATAATCCTTACCAGTTGAGGCTGCTTATGTGTAATTTTTCTCAAAAAAAAAAAAAAGATCACAGGTTAGTTGTTGAGAGCAGGTGCTGAAAAAATTATCTGCTTTTTCAAAAGTGCAGAAATAAAAAAAGCACAAAATGTAAAGCAACTTGCAATTTTTTTAAAATGTAAATCTATCAATTAGTCTATGATTACATTATAACCATCAAATTATCTAACTTGTTTATTTTCTAATTATCAAAGTACTATATAAAGCATCTCCCACCAGTGGCCTGCAGGTCACATCCGGTCCTCAACAGCTGGTAATGGGGTCCCACAATATTGTAAACGTTAACATTATTATGTGATTTATATACATTAATTACATATTTTCTATGCAGCCCAAGACAACTCTTG